GTGTGTGTGTGTGTGTGTGTGTGTGTGTGTGTGTGTGTGTGTGTTGGCCTTCTGGGGATGTTGCTATTGTCCTCTGGTTACCAAGCAGAGAATACCTTTTGGGCAGTTTTCTAATCCCCAGCCCTGTGTAATGTGGATCCTGCCCATGGTGGATGTCCTCAGTCATGCTGGTGAAACCCATTGGCAGCCTCTCTGAGGCTGTCTGGCCCTGTGCTTGGAGCATTGCTCGTGTGACCTTATTTCTGACGAGACTGCCTCCCAGGCCCATCTGCAGCCAGGGCTCACCCTGCCTCTTCTCGGTACATTTTCTGCTTTCTCTCTGATCCGCTTATATGGAGCTTGGTTTCACTGACTGGCTTCCTGACCCCCTGGTTCTTGGCAAGGATCATAAGAGGGACAAGCCTGTGGTGACCAACCATCCTAGTTTGCCTGGGACTGAGGGGCACCTACAACATGGGTCTTTCAGTGCAAAGACTGGGAAAGTCCTGACAAACAGGCACAAATGGGACAGTCTGGCCAGGTCATGCTCCTGCCATGTGCGGGCCCTTCCCTGGGAGACCCCTGTCTATTGGCTTCCTTGAGTCTGCTTTGGGTCAGCTGTTTCCCTGAGAAGGCTGTTACATTCCAAATCATTTCTTACTGTGATCCGGGAAGCTGTTTCATCTGGGCTGCCCTTTCTGGCCATGAAGCTGGGCTTGGTCGAGAGTCACGGCTCATAGCTGGAACGAGGGGGGGTATCCTGATGGCCGGGTGGATGAAAGATCAGGTAGGGGTGCTGGAAAATAGATGACATCACCCTCGACATTTCATAGCAAAAACTCAGGAGGTGACTGCAGATGTAGGGAGGTGGTGAAAATTTCACCCATCAGAATCTTTTTGGGAAGAACTCTACTTTATGTTTGGGATAAATATCTTACAAACGACTTGAAGGAAGACGCTGAGTGCCATGCTTGAGCCACAAAGGTGGTGGCCAAACAGCCTTTAAGGCAGACAGGGTTCTGTTACCTGAGGGACCCATTCATGAGCTAAACCTTCTGAAGAGTGGATATAAAGCCGTAGCTGATGTCAATTGAGAGCAAAATTGAAAGGGGAGAAATTTAAAGTGGGAATTTTGGAGGAAGTGGAGAAACTGATGAGGCCAGTTGCTGCATGGAGGAAGGCAGAGGGGATAACCTGGGTTGGTGGGATCCAGGAAACACTGGGCAGTACTGGGTGTCTAATGAGGACCTGAAGGTGGCTTGCTGTGGGCTGTGCTGTGTAACCATTATCCTTGTGCCCCACCCTCTACCCACACCATCACCCTGAGTCTTCAGTAAAGTCTCTATTGCTCTTTCTTGCTTGTATATGAGTGGGTTCTGTGCAGGAAACATAAAGAGTTTGAATTCTGGGTCTGGGCATTTATATGGGATGGAATGGAGGCAGTGCATTCTATACATACAGCGGTGATGGTGGATGAGTGACAGCAGACAGTTTGGTTGCACAGATGTGCCAGTCCTGTGGCTTCCATGTGGCCATTGTATACAGTTCTGATTATCTCCAGGAGCATCAGCCAAGAGTTACTGAGCAAGAATCCGGGCCAGGTGTTCTTTTCAGCCCTGTGGACAACAAGGAGTGGTCTTGCTTTCCTTGCACTATGGATGGACTTTATGGAAGGAATGTCTGGAGGAGAAATACTATGAGTACAAGCATTACATGAGGGTGTGTGTTGGAGTGGGGAGGCTGAGTATGGAGAAGTTGGGGGGGCGTCAAGAAAGCAGTTGCAGGAAAGAAAGCCTTTGAGCTGAAACTTCCATTTTAAGATGGACCTAGCACATGCTTGATGATAGAGACGAAACAAAAAATAAAAATATAGCCAAGCTTGAAAATAAGAAAGGGAACACTTAGTGGGCGAGAAGCTGAGAATACCTAATAAAATGCAGAGCATTGAGTTGAGCTTTAATATGGGAGTGAGAAACGTCAAAGCGCAGGAAGTCATTCCAGAGTGAGGAGCAGCAGAAGCAGAGAAGGGGCACGGCATTGATGGGACGAGGCCCAGGCTGCAAACACAAAGGCACTCGGCAGGAAGTAAGACTGGGAAGGTGGGCTGGTCCGTTCTTCAAATGCCAAGTGAAAGAATTTGGACTGAATTTTGGAGGAATTGAGATTTTGAGGGGAGGGTGTGCAGAGAGAACTGGTGGACAAGCAGAGGCCACATTGGTGGGGCAGGAGCTCGGAGGTGCTGGCATCAGTTAGGATAGTAGCTCCCGGCACCTGTGATAGGGTGAGGGGGAATTGCTGCAGTGGACCTGGTGAGGCAAGGCCTGAACTGGCACCCAGCAGTGGAGGCAGGTAGGTAGGTGGGTGTGGGTGACATTGTGGAAGTGGAATCCCAGGCCAAGTGCACACAGCACTCACCTTGATACGACTACTGACAATAACATTATCAAGAGTCTTTAGTGAGCCAGGCACCCTCTTGCTAGACCCTATACGTCATGATCAGGTTGAAGGGTAAGGATGATGCTGTATTTGTTTGTATTGCCCATGTTGCTGTTGGTTGTAGGGGTTCATTATAAGGAAGCAAGCAAGCTAGTCTTATCAATGAATTCATTTCCATTTTATAGTTGAGAAAACCGAGGCATAGGAAGGTCAATGACTTGCCTAAGAATATGCAGTCACAAGTGACAGAACCAGGCTAGTCCCCGAAAGCCTCCAGACTCCCCGTCTAGTGCTCTTCCTATGTCATTACTTCTCAGTGGAAGATAATGCTTCTTCTATTCTAAGCCACTGCCAGCTGTCGCTTTGGCTGTGACATTTTGACTTTACCACCTCTGAGCCAAATTAGGCCCTAAAGCTACTTGGCCTGATTCTCTTAACATTTGTGTGGACAAGCACAGTCTGCCCAGACCTCCTTGCCTTGCACTGCCTAGAATGCCAGCTGCTCTCTGAAAGTTTCCTTGGAGAAAATCCTGCCTGGGCCAGTCAGGTTTGCTCAGAGTGGAGCAGGTCCCACTGCCCAGAGAGCAGTCATCTCCGAGTTCCAGAACTGGCCTCTGCCTTAGGAGCAGGCATGCCCTTGCTCTGAGCAAGGAACAGATTTCACATCGAAGTCTCCGTGCTCAAGAGAAAGTGGCCCTGCCTGCGCAGAACCCAAAGCTGTGTTTGTCTGGAGCTGTCCAAATGTTTATCCTTCCAACAATGGGACTAAAGCAAGACTAGACACCTGCCTGTTCAGAGTTTCCCTTTTCAATTTTTAATTTGTTTTCCTTGACGCATGGCTCAGGAGCTTAGCCTCCACACCTGGGACCCCTTGTCAACTGTTTCATTGTCACCGGTGAGAGTCTCAAAGCTGGGGCATTGTGGGTAAGACCCGGCTGGGAAAGGATTTGCCAAGACGACGTCAGCATATCTGTAGGCTCCCCTTTTGTCCAGGATCTCTCAGAGGAGCACAGCATCATTCTCTAAGTAGTTATTTCTTACCTCTCCTAGGCACTCTTCCAGGCAGGGAGCAACAGAGATCCAGGTGTGAATTACTGATAATGGTAAACTAGATATAAAGTGGTAGGGCTCAATGTAAAAAAAGACAAATGATAGTCGCCACTCACCAGTGCTTTATATAGCGCACACCTGGAGCCTCATCGTCAGCATGATAAAAATTCCTTGACCAGGCCTCAGAATAGCCTGTGTGTGCCTTGTCTCTCACCTCAGCACTCAGGTTTTAGCTTCGTAGAAACGGCAGCACTGGACAGGGCCTTCTCTTGGAGCACGTGGCTGAGGGATTCCACATCAGAGTGAACACCAGGCTGTCAAGGGTTACTGCTTCCTTTATCTTTTTTTTTTTAATTAAAAAATATGGGTTTTCCGATTATAAATGTGACATACGATAATTTTTAAAACTTTTGGAACATAGTGGAAGAATTGCTGATAAATTCCACTTTGGGATTTGGATGTGATCCACACCAAGGGACATTTCCGTGTAGTCGTGTGCACCACCAGGACACCTCCCAGCTGTGTGGGCATTGTTGAGGACTTGTTCGCTACATCTCACGTCATCTGCTCTACACAACAGACTCGGGATAAGTGGTTCTTTGTTCCAGGGTTTGCTGTGGTCCTCCTGGTGGATGCCTACAGAACACTCTAAATTGGGAGAGGGATCATAGCTCTCTTTTTGTCGTGGCTGCTAGCAGCCAAGTCTGTGGCCCATAGAAAATACAGTATCTCAGGGTTTGCATTTTGTGTACTCATGTGCTTTTGGCGCCATCGCTGTGTCTCTTCTCTCATTTTCCCTTTGACTTAATTCCCTTACTCTTCTCTTTGAACTTTATATGCATGTGGTTATGTGTTTGATGTAGTTTTGTGAGCAAATTAAAATCCTTCTAAGAATAAAGCAGTAGAAGGCAAGAAACTCAGACTCGGCTTTTGTATTGTTTAGTTGTACTTTATAGAATCCTAAGCCAAGCTCAATGTTAGTGATAGTCTGATTCAAGGTTGGTAAATTTTTCTTGAAAAAGACAGATAGTAAATATTTTAGCCTTTGCAGACCTTAGAGGCTCTGACACAACTACTCAACTCTGCCTTTGTAGTTTGAAAGCAGCCACAGACAATTTCTAGGCATGACTGTGTTCCAATAAAACTTTATTTACAAAAACAGGTGGTGGGCCAGATTTATTTCATGGGCCATAGTTTGCTGATT